TGGATACCTGGTGGAATCCTGGGAAGTAAAGGCGGCTGGCATGATGTTGACCACCGAGTGCCGATTGGTCCATAAAATATAAGTTTAGCCCTGTATGCCCAGTTTGCCTGAGGGGGTTGAAAAATGTAATTTACTGTAAACCACAAGTGAATCTCCATGACACGGCATCAACGTAGCGGCATCTGGATATGTCAGTTAAGTTATTTTGTGTATTCATTTGACTTGTTTGATTTATGTATGCGCGGATGAAGGTTCTATAGCCGCAACGTTCACGTTTTCTTTGTGTTTGTTAAATTGTGAAGCTTGCTGATCGACTTTTCTTTCGGTTTCAAATCTTTCTATAATATTATCTTACTGTTGAACTGGATTGGCTCCCGGGGGATTTTTGTATGTCACAGAAAGTTATTCCCTCATTGTGCGTTCTGGTGCGGTTAAACGTCATATATATATATATATATATATATATATATATATATATATATATATATATATATATATATATATATATATATATATATATCACGCACACACACATACACACACACACACACACACACACACACACACATATATATATATATATATATATATATATATTCTGTAAATTTCCATAAAATCACGTGTTTACAAAACATTCAAATCCCTGATGTGCATATTTACACCCCCCCCCCCCCCCCCCCAAAAAAAAAAAAATTTTTTGTATAAAGTGGATCATAAATGTTTGAGATTTTGCTTTATGGAAGGAGTCAAAACTGAACGTTTAATAATAGAAAGAAGCTCATATAGCACATACACTAGATAAATGAAATAAAGCTAGCCCACAATGAAGCAATACTAATGACATGACAAGGGAAGCAACAACGATAACGACTTCAATCGAAACGTTCGCTTCATATTTCTTTCGCTTTGCATTCTGTGGGTGTAAATTCCGGCGGAAAGTCCTGGTTGTGCGTCCACTTTTGGACTTTGGTCTTCTTCCAAGAGTTCAGTTTTGCGTGGATATCCGTTTTACAGATTCGGCTCATATGTGTTCCTACTAATGGTACCTCGTCTCTCAGGCAGATCTACTCTTGACCTTCAAGGAAACGTAGATTTCCTTTTAGCCGCATGGTGGCACTTTGTGTCATCGGGTGTTTATCGCTTGTGTGATGTCCTGGTGGGGTAGAAAGTCAGATAGTCAGTCAGATTTCCTTTACGCCTCTCTAAGGCAATTAAATGCATTGGTATTTGTAATAATCCGTTGTATTGTATTTCAAGTATAATTAAAAATAAAATAATAGCATATAAAAAATATATTTATTTATGAAACAAATGCCAAAGTCATTTTATTTATTTGTTTTCATTAGTGTATATTTATGTGTGTGTATGTATATATATATATATATATATATATATATATATATATATATATATATATATATATATATATATATATATATATATAAATCAATGTTGGTGTGTTTGTTTGCCCCCTATAGACTCGGAAACTACTGAACCGATTTAGCTGAAATTTTCAGGATATGTTTGTTTTGATACCGAATGTTGAACCATCATGGTTTGAAATTCAACCTGTCACTGTTAGAGATAGGTGACCACAATTTAAGCCATAATATTCGAAACTAATATTTATAATTTTAGTGATTTCTAATTATAGCCACGTTAGTAATTGTGCATGCGCCGTGCAGCCAACACCTCCTCTAATACATAGAGTAGGTCGTGGTACAGCAAACAAGACTATATCTATATCTGTGCAGGCAATGATTGCCACAATTACTATATTAGACACGATTTCTATTTTCTGTTTTTTTTTTCTTCAAAAATCCTTCGATGAGTTGAAAAGTAGCCGATGGATTAGTAGGGAAAAAGAGGGGGGGGGGGGGGGGTTGGCATCAGGGACTATCTCGACGTCTGCGCAGACATTGACTGCGACATTAACCGTGTTAGACACGTGCGATTTCTTTTGTTGTGCCGTTTCATTAATATATTTGGAATATCTGTCTATGAGAAAACAATTGCCTGCTGTTTTGAGTTGTGTTATAATCGGGACACACATCTAAAATAGTTATGTTCTCTTTTCGTTATTCCGATCGAGTGGTTGCTTGGTCGAATGGTTAGAACACTCGGCTCTTGAGAGGGAGACCAGGGTTCGAATCCGCAGTAGTTTTTAAAAATTTTTTTTTTTACTTAGGGCTAAAATAAAATCCTCACCTGCACTGTCGTGGCGACAGCACTAGCCATATGACCCTTAATGATATATATTTAAAAAGAAAAAAAAAACAAGGTTTGTGGGTAAACCAGTTGATAATTAAATTTGACCATTTCACATACTTATGATTTCATTTTAAACTTTTCGATTGCATGGTTACGCTGAAATTTCATAGCTTTCCATTTATTTTCATTTAGATTTAATTATTTCATCTGCGTTGGAATTTTAAGCTGTGCTGTTTACCATAGCGTTCTTTTCCTAATTCTGGTGTATTTTTCCTGTTTTAATTGCTTTTCAATTGGTTTTTTTCCCCTCTCAACTACTTCGATGAGGGAAAGAGTAGTCGGTGAATTTAGGGGGGGGGGGGGGGGCAAACTGATTACTGAGAGAGCTTTAAGTCACAGTAACTGCTTTACCCACTCAAAGTAGCAGCAGCAGTAGTAGTTGTGGTTGGGCGGTTACACCGTAGTGCTCTCATGTGAAGACCGCCGGTAAGGTTATGGCATTCTTCTGTCGGGGAGCGAAATCATACATCCTAACCTGACCAGTCCGTGGCGACAGCACTAGCCATGCGGCGCCTAATCTTCTGGCTCACGACTCCCTGTCTACTCCGATGGTAAAACAGATAACAGTGACATTATTTTAGCTACTGTGGTGGTGGTCGTGGTAGTAGTTGTACTGGTACTTGAAGGATGATGCGGTAAATATTACATTAGCCCCATTCACTACCTATTACAATTCCTGCTCCCAATTTAGTCCAGATGGACAGGGATGTCAATGTCAGTTACAACAAAAAGAATATCGCCAGGTGATGATTTTTCAATCCTTAGAAGAGGGAGAGAGCAGTAGTCGGTGAAAGAGGGGAGGGGAGAGGGTAATGACTGAAATTTAAGAGAACTTAAAGAGCTTTACACATGATTTTTAAGTTCTCATTACTTACTTAAATTGTTTATATTTTACTGACGCTACCTTCACTATTCTAATTTTTGTATGACTTACTTTGTTATTTACAAGTATAGTAGTAGCTTTACTTTCGTCTCCTATAAAAATACAAACAGCTTTAGCATGTGATAACCAAATGACCACTTTTGTTACTGTGCTAATAGCACCATTTAAACGACCACTAATATAAAGACACAATTATATGGTGCGTGTTCTAAAGTTGGAGAACCAGACTATCTATATATAAATGTGCAGAGATTGATTGCGACATTAACTATATTAGACAGGTGCGATTTCCATTGTCTTTCTTTTCCAAAAACCTTTGATGAGGGAGAGGGTAGTAGGTGGATTTAGTTGTAGGGGGGGGGGGGGGGGGGGGGAGTGGGGGTGGGGATCAAAGACTATCTCTATATATGAGCAGACAATGATTATGTTAGACGTGTGCGATTTCTATTTTCTTTCATTTCCATTTAGCCAAACTATGCCACAGCAACGCGTGGCCGGGTACAGCTAGTATATATATATATATATATATATATACACACACACACACACACACACACATATATATATATATATATATATATATATATATATATATACATATATATATAGCTAAAAATCTAATTAATATGATAACAAAGGGATTTATAGGCTAAGAACATATTTCGACCGAAACGTATCTCCATACTGTCTGTTCTACTTGTTGGGGAATCAGTTGTCGTCCTCTTTTGAATCCGACTTTATTATGTTGGCGGGGCGGTCATGCTATCTACTTAAAGAAGGGGTGGTGGGAGGTGGAGTTGGGGCTTGCAATATGCTCAACGGGACGAATGGATCTTCCCATATACTCCAGGAAGGGGGGGGGAGGGAAGGGGGGGGGGGAAGAAGGAGGGGGTGAAAGTGCGACCTGAAAAAGGTTGGAGACCACTGCACTGAAGGATGTTGCAGAACCAATTTCTTCATTTTTATGTTTGACTGCTTGTGATTTCACGAGGTAGTTTTACGTTCAATAGTTTGCCATTGCTGTTTTAACGGTCGTTTGTCGATGTGACTTTCGATAGCAACGCAACGACAGCAGGTGGGATGGAACCCGGCACCTTGAAATTACTAAGCGCGTTCGCTACGCTTAAGCCATAGACGCCAACTATAGTATATCAGTCTATATTGACTCATTATCAGGTATTAGATGTTTGAAAGAACTTTGCTGTCATCGCAAAACGCCTGAAAGCCACTTAACCCCCAGCCAACTTTCCCGCCTCATAAGCTGTCATTTTCACGGTGACTTTGTATCCACCGTTGCGCCCGTCAACTGAATCTCCCTATCAGAACCATACCGCTTTGTGCTGTTTTCTTCTTCTGCTTGTTCTTCGATCCTTCTGTCACAAAATTCATACCAGGTGACCGTAGCCTTGACGAAAGCTGTCGTGCAGTCCATGCCTCGAAGTGTACCGTAAAGCTATGTGTTCACTGAGGTTGTAACAGGCTACATCGCTTCTCTGTTAGCAGCATACAACTGACAGTGTTATCGTACATGCACAACATTTTCTGGTGACAAGTTGCAAGAGAAAAATGTGAACTAAAGTCTCTTGTGCCCTGTCCTTAGTCTGAATATAAATCTAGCCCTGTTTATTCCAAACCATCATAGCATTTAACATGTCCGAAGAATTTCAGTTTTTCGAAGTGATACTCATGCCCCATTCCTGTCTAGGTCCCTAAACGTGTCAGTATTTCGATCTTCTTTGTCCCTTATCCATAATATGATATTACTGTAATATGTAAGCTCAACGGTTCCAAGCTTCTAGTGTTCCTTCTTTACCTACTCTACAACAGCAATTACGCCGTGCGCAAGTTAAGAACGAAGATCTGAAACCAATTTTGTCCAGAAAATGTTTATCTGTTGCTCATTGGGCTGCACGGTGGAATCAGGATACATGATGTAAGTGCTGTTCTGAATGTGATACAGCAGCTCTGTGCCCAGCTCTTTCTTTGTAAGGTTCTCCATAAGGAGGAATACAAGGACAGGACGTCCAGTGTGAACTTGTTCCATGTTGGCCATTTGTAATTCAAACTTACACCAAACACTGTCCAGCAACTCGCGTGTAAGGACCACTAATGTATAACGGCTGTTTTGTATCGCATCCACGATGTTAGAGCCAATCGGTTGTCCTGCTAGAAAATGCAAGCAGTGGACATGAACCTTGAGGCCTGCCGCTTGGAGTTTTGGGTACAGAGTTTTCATGACGAACGTTTGGTCTTCTGAAACATAGGAAATAAAAACATCGTACTCAAACCGATTCAGTTTGTCTGTCTGGTTTTCTGTTGATTTGAGACTGAGGTATGCAGAGTAATAAAGGTACCGTAGCTTCCATCGAAAACGGTAAATTATGGAGGCCGTAATGACAAGGACAATAAGAAATGTGGCAGCAAAGACTCCAATAAACAACCCTGTTCTTGGTGTGCACTGCCGTTTTAATGTTTGGTGCATGTCAAGGAACCCGTCGGCTACTCGCTGCTCGGAGGAATCATCAAAGACGCATTTATTGTTTTGGTTCGTTAAATCTATTTTAGCCGTGACCAGCCAGCCGAGAAAGTCGAGGTTGACACAGTCGCAATGTATCGGGGCTTCTCCGAAATCAATAGTTATTGGTCTTTTGCGATTTCGTATAATACTGTCCAACGCCCTGGTTACATGGGAACTGAGTCTTGCTACTTCCGTGAAGCTGAAATTTATGAAACGTAAATTTCTCATATGTGAAATGTCTGGAGTAAAATAATACATTGGGTTACTTTGCATATGGAGTTCTTCTAGGCTGTCCAGTCCTGCCAATGCCACCTTACTAATTGTTATTATTAAAGCAAAACTTACATTTAACTGTTTTAAGTTCTTCAGGCATTTGAATGGGGACTGTTTCGTTTTATTCGATAATATGTGACCGAAGATATTCATGCTCAAATCAAGCTTTTTCAAGGATGGGAAATTACAAAAGAAGTGATCCGATATGAAGCGAACATTACAGTTGACAAGCTCCAGCTCCTTCAGATGGTTCAATCCTGTGAGATTACCAACCAGGTTAGGAATGTTGTTCCCATTTAATGTGAATGTTGTTAGGGAGTTGTTTGGGTCAATGTTGAAGTCGGTCAAAGAATAAGACCATCCAGCAATTTTAATTTCCACAGATTTCAAATTTCTAGGCAGTTTTAAAATTGTTCCATTCGTGGAGCTTTCCATTTCTGTTGATTGCGAGGTACTTAATTCTGATCTGCTACAGGTCTTTCCCTCTTGCGACGGGTAGGCCGTTGGTAGAGAAAAGCTAAGGTCTCCACCATTTAGTTTTAACACTTTCAGGTTCTCAAGTTTCGAGAAATTTTTCAAATAAGTACCAAATGCAAGCCTATTGTCGCTGATGTCAAGGATAGTTAAATTCTCAGGAAGCGATGCAATGACCTTATGCCGAATAACTGCGAGACTGTTGCTGGAGAAGACAAGTTCTCGAAGACTCCGAGGTAAAACTGAAGCAAAGATCTCAGAAACGGTGACACACGGCATGTAAGAATTGACAATATTTTGCATCCGTAGGACTTTGAGATCAGAGTGTGTGATGCTTCTCAACAATGGAACTAAATCAAACAAACATTGCTGTTCATTCACACTAAAGTCAAACACCTGCAGACCAACCAGCGGTACTAGAAACCCTGGCTGCAAGGACAGCTGGGTATAATCAAGGGATTGTACAGGAGTATATAAGGCCAGTTTGTTGTTGCTTAAATCTAAAACTTCTAGCTGAGTGAGATTCCAAAAACTTGTATTAAGAAGAATCGATATATTGTTGTAGCTGAGATCAAGACACCGGAGATTATAATATCCACTCAACGCCTTTCCTTGAACAGAGTCAATGTTGTTATAGGAGAACAAAAGGTCAGTAATGTTAGACGGTAGATCCGATGGTACAGTGAAGAAGCCTCGATCTGAACAGTTTGCAATGGTTCCCTTGACGTCGCATCTGTGACGCACGTGAGACTGGTAGAGATTTCTGTCGGCTGTGTTGTTAAGGCATACTGAATAAGATACATCTCTCAATGTGAAAAGGGCACATCTTCCAGTCTTCAAAGTAGTTAGTATATAGAGTGCCAATAGCACTGGTATTGTTGCGTGCAAGCGTGTCATGGCTTGGTGTAGATAACTGAAATCAAGAATATATACGTCTGCTTTACAGTAGTCAATACCAAAACAATACTTTTGTGTGTAAACACACACACACACACACACACACACACACACACACATACACACACACGGCCATTTTCCGGGTTTTTGGCCTCGGCTAACGAATTTAAGGCTAACGAATTTGGGTTCGGTTAGCAAATGTTTTGAAGGATGTGAAGAAATAACTATAAAAAACTTTATAAACGTTAAAAAAAAATAAAACTCTATTTTTTCATTCTACTCTCCGTTCTCATATTTCCAACTAGGAATCTGTTCATCTCAGCCTTTGGTAAGTGTTTGCTCTCACGGTGTGCTGTTGCGCTGTGAAGGTTGATTTCACAGTGATGTCATTTTCACGAGCGCAATTTTTTTTTACTGAAATGTTCGGGGATCGTAGCGAGATCGATAGAGTTCGTGCTTTGTTCGACGCTTTCAACAAGCTTTCGAGTCTTTCTGGATAAAACCCAGTGCAATGAAGTCGATTATCTCGACTTTTCACTTTCACTTTTAACTGTGCTTGTAAATTACTAGCTTCACTGCTGTAAATAGTTAGTCGACAGATTATCCAAATTGCACGTCAAACTTCTTAGCCCTTAAGTAATCGGATCCCCTCCCCAGTACATCCCGCAGCGTGTAGCGGCTGACGACGCCAGTCCTGTGTTAGTTTATTATTCTTCTTTGGCTACCCGCGTAGTGTTCTTGTTTGGCGACACCCATTTAACTTGCTGTTCTTGCAGTCTGACTATGGTTGAAGATTAGCATTCTCAATTGCTTCACGCAAACGCCTCGAATCTCGAAGAGCATTCAGTATATCAGCCTGGTCCATGGCTTGTCCGGTTTTCAAGGTAACTGAATGCTTTTTTAGACTTGGTGTAAATTGTATGGGTACTGCTGGATAGTATGTTGTTGCAGAACTCAGAACAAATCGATACTGAAGACAGTATCAGATAAGAAGACAATAAACCAACCATCTTTTCAACGTTTCACTGTGCACATAAAGTAATTTCAAAGAAACTGTTAAAGGCTTTAGACCCTTTACACAACTGTGTGCACGCCCGCGCGTCTCTCTCTCTTTCTCTCTCTCTTTCTCTCTCTCTCTATCTCTCTCTCTCTCTCTCTCTCTCTCTCTCTCTCTCTCTGTAAGGGGCTGCGACTAAGCCTTGCTTATATGCTTAATAATAACAAAAATGAGCTACAAAAATCTTATTTACAGTGGTACCTCGAGTCACGAATGCTCGGGCACGAACGCTCCTGCCCCGAATGCTCCGGTCTAAACATTATAATTTCAACATTTTAAATCTCTTATAATTGTTTTCTGTCTAAGGCGTCAAGGAACAAAAGCCTCTTGATGTCGCGAATGCTCGGGTCACGAACGCCTCTAGTTAGACCAAATTGTCCAAGGAACACAATTTTCGAACACATTTTGACTCGACCAGTCGAACAATGCTTCGGCTCACGAATGTACAATCATGGCATAGGTGCCATGTCTTCTGCTAACGAACAGCAACAGTTGTACTCAGGTTTGCGTGCTATAAAACGTGTTTATCATTACATTGTTTTTGATAAAATTTTTTGCCTACTTTTTGTGTGTGCATTTAATTAACCCTCATTATGGCTGCCAGCGGCGTCCGTGGCTTGGGAGTTGCGAGTCTGACTCGTAATTCCAATGTACCGCGATCAAAACCCACTGCTGGCAGCGTGGATTTGTATCATTTTATGGGGCGTCGCAGATCGACCCAGCCCTTAATGGGTACCAGGATGGGTGTCCTGGGGAAGTAAAGACGGCCGGCGTAATGCTGACCACATTACCCACCTAATGCCGATTGGTCTGTGAACATATAGGTGCTCTTCCCATGTGCCCAATGCGCCTAAAGGCGTGAAAAGGGATCTTTACTTTACTTACTTTTACATTTTGGCTCCCAAGAAAGTGAACAGTATTAGTGACAGTAATGTAACGAAACCTAACCGTATTACAATAAAAACAAAGAAGGAAATACTAACTAACCATGATACTGATGATACTGGTGTTAGTGTTTCTGATCTGGCTAAGCAGTACAACATGGTTAAATCTACGATCTGTACTACTTTTTTTTTTTTATAGCTTCGGCAGGCTTTATACCAGCGTCTGGAATAGAAGTCGTATGTCCCTTCTGACCAAGCTGAAGGTTGAGAGAGCTGTAGTTTTTCTAGTACAATTCTACGCTTGCGAAACGTGGATTGTATCAGCGCCATGCTAAAAAGTTGAATCAGTTTCATATAACTTAACCTAGAAGATGCTCAAAATCAATTGGCAAGATAGGATCCCAAATACTGTGGTTCTTTATAGGGCAAACCCGCCTAGCATCCATACGATACTGAAGAATTGTCAGCTGTGTTGGGCTGGTCACCTAGCCCGCATGCCAGAATACCGTCTCCTAAAGAGATTCTTTAATAGCGAGCTCCAGCAAGTAAACAGGTCCCAGGGAGGACAGAAAAAGCTGTATAAAGACACTCTCAAGACTGCTCTCAGTTCTTTTGGCATCAACACAGCGACATGGGAGGCTGCTGCACGGGACTGTTATGAATGGCGTACATCCCTCAGGTATGGTGCATCAGCCAGCCAGGCAGTGGAGGTTGCACTGGCAGTGAAACGGAGGCGAAACTAGAAAGAACTTTTCTGCTAATCCCTAATCCACACTTACTGCGACTTCCACCTGTTGTCCGCACTTCTTAAGAACTTTTCGTGCTTTTACTGGACTAATCCGCCATCTTCGTACTCACAATTATTGATCATCGCTGTACGAACAACACTATTTTAAAGAAAAGAGTTGCCCTAAAGACGGTCGGTATGGCTAAAAGAGCGACTGTGTTAACGAACCAAAGTTCTCAAGTGTTAGAAAAGGGAAATTATTGTTAGGCACCGAGCCCACCATCAAACCACTTACCAGGATACAAACAAGAGAACAAATAAATTATAGAAATACCCACAGGCATACCCACCTTTATTATGGAATTTGATTCTGCTTCGGAGGAGTATTTTTTTTTTTTTTACCTCCTCTGCCATCTACATGTGCCAGCAACTATCAGCCACACAGGTTAAGCTATATTTTTGCTAAATATAAATCCTTAAAAAGTCAAACACAACATGTTTCTGATGCGGGCGAACGGATTAAATGAGCTTGGATTAATTCCAATGGGAAATATTGTTTCCGTACGCGAACTGATTGATGTTTAGCTCCAACAGAACCGCAGAGTCAGCGACAAACACTCGGTGACACAAAGTGCCACCTTTCGGGTGAAAATCACCAGGGCACAAGTCCCAGAAACTCCGTTTAACCGTCATGTTATATTAGCCCCCCCCCCCTTTTTTTTCACCCAGCTTAAAAAAAAATTGCACCTCATATTTGGGGCCAAGATGGTTCGCGAACGGAGTCAAAGAACGAATTAATTTTTTAACTCTTAGCACGACTGTACTTGAAAAAAAAAATATATATAAGCAGAAGATAAAAAAAAAAATTCTATAAATGTTAGAGGGAGGGGTAACTTAGCGCCCACTCAAAAGGGCACTGAAATTGTATCGGCCGGGGGTCGGGTGGTGGGTGAAGGGGCTCAACATCCTTCGCCCCTGACTCATGGTTTTTCTAAGAAATTGTATGGAACAAGTACATTTCAATTCTCCCCTTGTGTTTGTGCAATAGTGCATGACACATCTGGTTGCTTGCCAGTTTTGAATCCCATGTCATTGTCACAGGAAGAGTAAACAACCGGCGCAAGGTCGTCGCCACAGAGACATTGGAGGGCGGGTGGAGGGCTCCGCTCCCTTATACATTTCTCAGAAGAAGCTGTCAAGGAACAAAAGCCTCTTGAGGCTACTCCATTTTTAGGAGGCATCAGCCACCCCCTCCCCTTTCCCCCAATAATTATGTAAGAGGGTTTTGGGGCCTTATTACCATTTATAGAAATTCTTTCTGAAAGTGTTTGGTGTTTCACCCGTGGCGGAACCCAGTATTTGGTTTATAACTCGGACACTAATTAATATATGGCAACGAAATTTGGAGTGGAGTTACCACCGTTCATCTGAAGTCGGGTGGACATCATAACAGGTGCTTGAAATAATGTCCATCAGTGTCCGAGTTATGAACGAAATCCTGAGTTCCGGCACGAATGGAACACCCGATATGTGTTTTCACATTTCATATTTTTTCATCTATAGCACTATATTTGCTGAGAGAAAAAACAAAACAATCTAGAATGAAAAATACAATATAGAATACAAGGCCGACCAGAGCGATGAGTGGAGGCGGGTGATATCTGTAGCAATGAACCTTACGGGAATGCTGAAGATGAAGAAGAAGAAGATAGTACTACATTTATCTCCCATTCAGTATATTCATAACAATAAATAATAATAAAGCGTTGAATGACAAGTAAATATATCTTTCCGAGAGCAGCCTCCCCCCCCCCCCACCACCCAAAGAGCAATATAAGTAGGTTAAATGGTTTAGCCATGGCTAAAAGCTCTCCTTGAAAGTATTTGTTTATACTTTTCATACTATTTTAATTATGTTTACTTGCGGTTCATAACACATTATTATTATTTTGTTGTTGTTTTGTTTTCATTATCATCATCGTCATCATCATTAATATTACGCTCCTAATCTAGAATTATGCCCATCGAGGTCCTTTCGTATAGAGAATATGCAAGGCAGTCAATGTTTCCTTTGAGTCGGCGCGTCTGAGACGGCGAGCTAATAAAAATGCTCCCGATTTTGATTGTTAACTCAGTAGTTTGGTGGTAGAATTGCTACACAGAACTAAATGAATTACCTTCTTCTTCTTCCTGCTCACCAGCTGTCAACTACGGTGGAAATTTCTGGTTGTTCGTCCACTGATGGACTGTAATCCTATTCCAGAACCTAAGTGTTGCATGTGCCCCAGTTTTACAGATCTGACTTTTTTGTATGCATACTGTTGGTTCCTTG